CTAGTAGTACGGCCAGGAGCCCCTAGTAGCGTCCTTGCTCCTAGTAGCGATGCCAGGAGCCCCTAGTAGCTTCTTGTTACCAGTTGCCATTTGAGCAACTGGACACCCTGTGCCGTTTCGGGGGAGCTGAGGCCTTGTGCCGTTTGGAGGCTTCGCCGCCCAGCGATGCTGCGGCCGGCGCGCGGCTGGGGATGGCACTACAGGATGACGCCGAGGCGGTGCGGGCGAAAGCAGTGCAGCTGCTGAAAGGGGTGCCTAGCGAATGCTTGTCACCTGGCCGAATGCTATTCCTCCCTGGAAGGTAGAGCTTGGAAACACTTTGTTCGAAAGCATGGACACTCAATGATGATAATTTTGCTTTTCGGACACCCAAGAGCTTTGTGTGTAGGGTTCGGATTGGTTTGGCTCACTTGGCGTTGGCTTGTTTGGGATGTTTAGGGTTTGGGTTGGGGATGGTGGAGTGAGGGCAGCCCCTCCTCCCAAAAGAAGATAGTCAAGAACTTCCTTTGATATGTCGTGCTGTGGTTCCAGATGAGTGAGCATGTCTCATATCACGGTTGTTACCTGGAGTGCAGGGTTTGCTGAGGCTTCAAACAGTTAGGTAATTCCCTTGTTCAGCCTAGGTAAGTTCCTTATTCTTTGGAGTTTGGTGTGTGCGGTGGTCTTGGGATGTCTTGAATGCGATTCCCGATGAGCTGCCCCTGGTAGAATGCAATGAGAGGAAGCGGAGAATTGAAACACGCCTGAAGCTTGAGCCTCAGTAGCTTATGCGTTCCGACCATCCCAATACTTTTTGCAGGGTGCCTGAAAAAATACACCTTCAAGAAAACCACCTGGAACATCATGCATTCTTGGAGGCCCGACCAGCTAAGTTGCATCTTTCCAGGGGCTATGTAGTACTTCTGGCCCTTAAGGACTCTGAATCAGCATGAGTGGTTTCAGGCTGCCCTTGGTTTGCCCATGGGGGTGGCACTCCCAAGCAGAAGTTCTCCTTGACGGCTCTCAAATCCAAGGCAAGGAGCTCTAGTGGTGGCAGAGGACACGCTGTGGGGTTTGTGCTTTCTCTCGTCTAAAACCCCCAATTAATTCGGATGGCTAATTTAGTAGAACGTGGAAAACAGGACGTTGGCCTGCTATTATGCTTACTATTGAGTCCCGGTTTTGAGCCACGCAATCACACCGAATTTCGTCTCCCTCTGTCAGCCACAGCCTCTTAGTAACATGGGAGAAAACCTTCGAGCAGAGATGGGGTGTTGGGCTGCTTCGTCCTCATGCCGATATGAAGGTGATGTGGTGGGCCTTACTTTAAATGAACTCCAATGGAATCAATAATAATATATATATATATATGTTGTATATAATGCCCGATTGATGACACCTGAGGTGTTATCTTTTCAGACGGCATGAGGGTACTTCAGAAGTGTTTTGTTTTATCCCATTGCTCCTCAAGTAGCGTCCCATCGCTCCGTTCATAGCGATGCCCTTTGTTCTGTTCATAGCGTCCTTGTTACTAGTAGCGATGCCAGGAGCGCCCCGTTCGCAGCGTCCGATCGCTCCTGTTTGCACCACCAGGGGCTCCATCAGCACCCGCTGCAAAGTGTGCGCCGCGCGGCGGCCGCGGTGCTGGAGTTGGACCCTGCACGGTCGGACTCGCTGACCAGGCCGGGTCGGACGGCGCAAAGCACGGCGCAAATCGAAAAGGACCCGGGCAGTGAAGGGTCAAACCGCCTGGCAGTGTGGTCAAAGTCTCACGGTTGATGACACAATCCCCAGCGGAGCCACACTTGCTTCTGCAAGCTGAATATCCTTTTGCAATCTAGGGCCAACTGTCCAGCATCCGCTGTTCCTCGATGCAAAGCAGGCTTGGCGCCGTTCAGACTCACCAAAAAAAACCGATCAAAACAGCCCACGCAAAGCACGGCAGGGCAAGGAAGATCGTCCCTGACACTCGATGTGTGGCCCCGAACCGGACTGAACCGAGCTTATGGACTTCTGAGCAGGTCATCGGTGGTGGAACTGCACAGGAAACACACGGGAGAAACATATTATGACATTCATGCCGGAGGGTCCTGATGACCCTCTTAACGACCAAGTCGACGACCAAGTCGACAAATTGGCACGTTCCAAGCTGATCTTTGATCTTTTGTATTAGTACAGTGAAGTCCCCACCAAACCTTCAACCAGGTCAATTTATAAGAAAGCTAAGAAAAGGACCCATGCCTTCCAAACGCAAATACTGCCAATCTTCGTCCGGCGTACCATGTTAGCAACGAAATCAAGAAGGATATATTCCAGAGAGCCGCCCAACAATCCACATAGCACGTGTCAACAGTCGTGTCAACATGGGTTGACCTTTCAAACAGATTCTCTCTTTGGCCAAAGCTAGAAAAAGAAGTCAAAAGTATATAAAAGGTATTGCATTGGCATCGAGCATCACTAGCCCCCCCCACATCCCCCCAAGGTACCAGAGATCATGCTGCAGGAAAAAACTTCCGGCATTGTTGTCACATGTTGTCACGTTAGTGACCCTGCCGACCTCAGGCATGTGGCACTGCTGAAGGATGAGGATCCCAACCTTCGTTGTGCTGCAGCCGAAGCCTTGGGCGAAGCCTCCAAGTTGAAGGAATTGGAAGAACTGGGGGGACGTCCATTGGCGCAGTTCCTGTTCCTCGGCAGCGGCAGATGTTGGCTATTTTTTCCGCATCCGGTGCATCCATGACCCGAAGATACCCGAAGGCTGTAATAAGCATTTGATAGCATTTGCAAGCTGTACGGCTATACGTAGCATCCTTCACCCACTGGTTGACCCACAAGCGAACCAAATAATTCTGAGGAGGCTCATTTGCTTCGCCCCAGCGAGTCCAGCCCATCCTCTTCGCTTCGAAACCGGTTCTCCACCTGCCCCGGTCGACGGAGAGCCCGCCACGACGTAGCCATGATATATCGCAATTCCAAAAAAAGGAAATGTCAAGCACGTTGAGCGTCAGCCAGGACCGCGATCGTGTTGGGAAATGATGCTACTCGTAGGAATACTAGCCTCCGGTGTTTGTTTTTCCCGAAAGCATTGCGAAGGGTTCTTCCGGAAAATCTCTTGAACACTGACACTTCTACACTTACACTTACACACTGACACTTCCACACTTGCACTTGAACACTGACATTTCTACACTTACACTTGAACACTTACGCTTCCGCACTTACACTTGAACTTCCACACTTACACTTGAACACTTACACTTCTATACGTATCCCAGTGTAAGTGTAAGAGTGAAAGCATGCAAGGGCAAGTATGCAAGTGTAAGTATCCCAGTGCAATCCCAGTCCAAGTATGCAAGTGTGAGTATGGAAAACTTTCACGGGAGGTGTCCTAATGAAAAACATTTCCCCACTCTTCAATAAATTCTCTTTTAAAGGCGGAGGGTGGGACGAACAGCGTCAACCGAAAATGCAACCCTCTGCGGAGATCGTGCGTGTCGAGTGCGCGAAATGCAGGCGAGAGTGCGATTTGTCCGGTCCCCGGACAACCCTCTGCGGAGATCGTGCGTGTCGAGTGCGCAAAATGCAGGCGAAAGTGCGATTTGTCCGGTCCCCGGACAACCCTCTGCGGAGATCGTGCGTGTCGAGTGCGCGAAATGCAGGCGAGAGTGCGATTTGTCCGATGCGCGCGCAACCCTTTGCGGAGATCGTGCGTGTGGAGTGCGCGAAATGCAGGCGAGAGTGGAGAAACTGGCGATTTGCTAGTACAACTTTAGTACGCGGAGCAATCTGTGTAGCTGGAAGCTGAGAACTAGCGACTTTCTAGTACAACTTTAGTACGCAGAGTATCGGGGGAGCTGGAAGAGATGAGAACTGGCGACTTTGCAGTACAACTTTAGTACGGGGAGTATCTGGGGAGCTGGAAGATGAGAACTGGCGACTTTGTAGTACAATTTTAGTACGCGGACTAGTTGGGGAGCTGGAAGATGAGAACTGGCGACTTTGTAGTACAATTGTAGTGCGCGGAGTAGCTGGGGAGCTGGAAGCTGAGAACTGGCGACTTTGGAGTGCAACTTTAGTACGCGGAGCAATCTGTGGAGCTGGAAGCTGAGAACTGGCGACTTTGTAGTACAACTTTAGTACGCGGAGCAATCTGTGGAGCGGGAAACTGAGAACTGGCGACTTTCTAGTACAACTTTAGTACGCAGAGTATCGGGGGAGCTGGAAGAGATGAGAACTGGCGACTTTGCAGTACAACTTTAGTACGGGGAGTATCTGGCGAGCTGGAAGATGAGGACTGGCGACTTGGTAGTGCAACTTTCGTACGCGGAGTGTCTGGGGAGCTGGAAGATGAGAACTGGCGACTTGGTAATACAACTTCAGTACGCGGAGCAATCTGTGGAGCTGGAAGCTGAGAACTGGCGACTTTGTAGTACAACTTTAGTACGCGGAGCAATCTGTGGAGCTGGAAGCTGAGAACTGGCGACTTTGTAGTACAACTTTAGTACGCGGCTGAGTCATCTCTATTCTGTATTTGACGGTGGTTGCTTCGCTTTCGCTCCATTGGTCGGTTCCAACTTGTTTTGTCAAAGAACCTGGAGGCGTGCACGCTGCTTCTCAAGGAACGGACGCTCTTACGTCTCAGCGAGGGTCGGGCTCCCAGACAGAAGAGCTGCGTGCTTTACTATTTCCCTTTACCAGCAGCTCAAATGCTCTCGAAGATGAGCTGAGCTGTCTCCGCTTGGCCGCCGGTGGGGGGTTTGGGGAGGCCTGCGAGCTACTTCCTTCACTATATCTACAGTGAGAAATTCACCATTTGCCCTTACCAGCAGCTCAAATGCTCACGACGATGAGCTGAGCTGTCACCGCTTGGCCGCCGGTGGGGGGTTTGGGAGGCCTGCGCGCTACTTCGTTCAATATCTACAGTGAAGACCTTCACCAGCAGCAGACATAGACACACACACACAGACAGGGACTGATACACACACACACACATCACACACAGAGACCCACGCACTGCCTCAACTTACTCGCACACACACACAGACAGAGACTCATACACACACAGACATAGATACACACGCACATAGACCCACACACTGCCTCAACTCACTCGACTTAACACTTCACACTGAACACTTAACAGATAACTCACACTCTGACTTCCTACGTGATGAAAAATGCTTTCGGGCCACTCGTCGTCTAGTTACTAGTTTCTCACAGCCTCGATGCTCTTTATCAAAGCAATGAGATCAATGATCAATGAAGAGTTCAGGTCCTTGAGCATCGATCCCCATTGGGCCGTGCGTCTGGCGCTGGCGGAGAGCCTGCAACGTTGGAGCGAAGCCGCCAGGCGCCTCTCGGTCCGAGGGTTCCGGTGAAAGGGTCCAGGGACCATCAGCGCCGGTGGTTGGGGGCCGAAACCGGAAAAAGCGGAGCGATATGCGGCGAATATGATGCTGTTGGGCCTCCCCATAAGAAGGGGTGGTTTCGAACGTGTTTCTCAAGCTTTCACAGGTCACAGATGTTCCGGAGATTTCCGGATAGCCTTTGCTAAGCCACCGGGTTGGGGGCGGGACAGGGACATGTAAGTTGTTTTTTCGAACGTTTTGACCACCTCAACGGATCCATGGCTGGCGGAAACCTAAACAAGCGATCGAATTATACCGGGAGCGGATGACTTAGGGCTTTAGATGGCTTTAGGCCCGGAAGTGACATAGGACTTGTGACCATGTTTTTTTCCATAAAACCTATGTCATAGTGTCCTGTTTACTCTAGACGCCCCGAGAGAATACATGAATGGTCGGCATAGGCTCGGCTAGGTGGCAGTGTAGAGTAAAGTGCCACGAGCCAGTCCCCACCAGTGGTCTCTTCATTTTGCTAGGCTTGCACATAGCGTGGAGATGTCGCTGCTGTGTGCCGACAGTGACTGGCGTGTTCAACGGGCTGCGAAAAGAGCAGCAACCAAGCAAAGTTTAGATTGGTGAGTATCGCAGATGATCATGTCTCTAAATCATACCAGTTTGATGGTTCCTTGGAGATGGTGATGAGCGAGAAGAGGGCAAGATTTGACGCCTCCACTTCACCAAATTTGTTACAGAGGCCGAAGATGCCTCTTTTCAGATGATTTGCTCAAAGGGCAAACATAGTGGCAGCCGGTCAAAAGGCTAATGGCTTGTAGTCACCGATTCATACATCTTCAGCTGGGCCTTGAAGATCTTGAACGGCTTTCATGGACTTATCAGCCAATGTGCGTTCTTCACTGGCCAATCTGCAGGCTCCGTGTCGTGTGACAATGTCTCTTGGCTAACTCTGCTGAGGGCACATGATTGTCCACGACGACTGTCCATAGCTGATGCTGTTTTCCAGCATCTTTGACCGAGACATTCGCTGACGCGATGTAAAAGTCTTGATTACTGCTGATGGGAAGGCATATTCCTCAGGTGTCACCTGGCATAGGATAGGTGTTTCACACAGGATAGGTGTTTTGTCGAGGTGCACAGCTGGGCGAAAGTCAATCGACCTCGAGGGATGGGACCCATACCATACCAGCTCGAGGGCGGGGAAAGAGACAACTGTGACTGGTCAGAGATAAGTGATCGATTCTGGAGTTGGTACGTCTCAGAATGGGGCTCCGCACCACAGATTTTCAAGCGTCGATGTCAGTCATCCTGCAGGTGTCGGATGTGTGTTTCCGTTAATTTGCTTCTTTGTCTTGCATACCGCTGCATACCGCACCTGCTCCTTGCCCGAGTCTGTGACGGAGCTGGCCGATGCAGGATCTTTTCCTACCAGTGCGATTGCCACCAGCGCTATGGTCCGGCACAGAGTCGGTCCATGGATGCATCCAAGCCTTCCATCACGTTTTTCACAGCCTTCCAGGTGATTGGATCTCTTCTGGATCACTTCATGGATTTCTTTTTTTCCGGTATAGACTGTATATAGATACCAAGAGAATCCAAGAGAATAGTATTACGCGATGATTTTGTATGATCAATAAGCCCTCGCAAGCACATATACAATCCTACACCTCAAGTATTTTAGTTTTAGACGAGCGAAGAAAGAACGAAGCGAGCATTGAAACACTGAGTCTTCTAAGGCCTCTTGCCAGGTGCCACATGTCCGATCCAAAAGCAACGTCCAAAAGAGATATCCAAATTTTAAATTCGTAGTCAACCTTGACCATCTACGAATTTGGAAAAACCAGGTCAGATCATTTCCACATTGGAAAAGCAAATGCGTAACCAAAGTCACCGATGTCGGTCTTCTTCCGTCAAGTGCGGTCTGACGATGTGAGTCCAGGGCTCCTGTCTTTGAGCGGCTCTGGGAGAGCTTGGAAGAGCCCTGCTGGTCCGTGAAGGCCCGAAAGACGGCGGTTGGAAACTGAAACACTCCCTGTTGACGCCATTTTGAGAGGTCCATATTTGGGGTGATTCTTGAAAGCGATGCACTTGCTACTAGTAGCAAGAAGCTACTAGTAGCTCCTGGCCTTACTATTAGTAGTGATGCACTAGCTACTAGTCATTCTTGAGCCCAAGTCCTCAAAGCACTGGTGCATGGAGGCGGAAACAGGTAGACGGTAGGACCGTCTGTGTGGTAGGCCCGAATGGTGAGACCCAGGATTCTTCCCGCAGGTGAAAGCAGACTGACAGACTTGCCAGTGAAACTGGATGTGGGTGACAGACTGACAGACGAGAGAGAAAGAAGAGAGTGAGAGGGAGATGGAGAGCGAGAAGGAGAGCGAGAGGGTTCGCTGCCATGGAGGTCCTGGACTTGGAGAGGGAGGTGGTCAAGGCAGAAGACGTGACACTGATGTGGCGGGTGTGGAAAGTAATACTATTTAACACAGCGCAGGAAGCTAACTGGACTTCTGTCTTCTTTGGCATAGATTCTTGGCACAAGTTCATTGACAAATTGGTTGGCAAAGAGCGTTGGTCATTGCATACCGTTGCCATGTTTGACACGTTCCTCCTTCACAGCATCAGCTGTTTACCAGAAATGTCAAGCAGTTTAACAAGCTTGCACTAGCCATGGGCAGCGGTGCATCAGTGGAACAAAGATTCCGAAAGCCCAATGCTCGCCGTGTAAATTTGTTCAACATTTTGCAAGAAATGATGAAAGACACCAAGCGAGAGGAAGACATTTCTGAAGACCACTGGCAGCTCCTGATGAAAGCGTTAGAGGCCGAGGAGCATGAAGAATCAAAGCAGGTCAAGCAGCTGGAGGAACAACTTGAGAAAGAACGTGCAAACCGTGAAAAGGCAGAACAGTTGGTTGCAACACTGCAGGAATACAAAGAAGCAATGCAGTCCGTCCTGAAAGCCAAGGATGAAATGCAAGCAGCA